GTGGCTGATTGTACTCACTGGTTTTGTGTGACAGCTTGACACAGGCTAGAGTCATCAGAGAAGAAGGATCCTCAGTTGAGAAAATGCTTCCATGAGACCCAGCTGTAAGGCATTTGCTCAATTAGTGATTAATGGGGGAGGGCCCACAGCCCATAGTGGGTGGAGCCATCCCTTAGTTGGTGTTCCTGGGTTCTATAAGAAAGCAGGCTGGTTAATCCCAGCACTCGGAAGGCAGGGGCAGGTGGTTCCCTGTGAGTTTGAGACCAGCCTGGTCTACAAGCGCTAATTCCAGGACAAAGCCACAGAGAAACGCTGTCTCAGAAAAAAAAAAAAAAAAAAAAAAGAAAAGAAAGAAAGAAAGCAGGCTGAGCAAGCCATGGGGAGTAAGCCAGTAAACAGTACCCCTCTATGGCCTCTGCATCAGCTCCTGCCTCCAGGTTCCTGCCCTGTTTGATTTCCTGTCCTGACTTCCTTTGATAATGAACAGCAATATAATACAAACACAATAATATAAAATAAATATACCTAAATATACCCTTTCCTCCCTGACTTGCTTTTTGGTCATGATGTTTCGGTGCAGCGATAGAAACCCTAAGACACTGATGGTCATGAGGGAATGCCAATGGAAACCAACAGCTTACTCCTCTGCCTCCCTGATGCAAGGACTCCCTCTCTCTCCCTTCACCACTGTTCCAATGGAGCCAGAGAAAGACCCTTCCTTAAACTGAGTAAGCATTTATTATCAACATTGTTGATAGAATTGAATTCAAAATATGTTTATGACATAATGTAACAAACTTAAGCTTTCCTGTGTGATGATTGTCAACTTGATAAGAGTCTAGGAGACAAGTCTCCAGCCCTACCCTTTGAGAGAGTTTTTAGATTGGGCTAGACTCTGTTCATGCCTACGAGGGATCATCTTTATTAGGTTCACCGAGGCAGGAAACAATTTTTTTTTTTTATTTGTATGAGTGTTCTGCTTGTATGTGTTTAAAACGTGTGTGCCCAGTGCCTGAGGAGGTCAGAAGAGGGCGCTGGATCCTCTGGAACTAGAATTACAGATGGCCATGACTGGGTTTTACTTTTCAATTGTGCTAGGATTTATTGGGTTATTTGTTTATTTATTTTGGTTGGAGGAGGTTTATACAACCAAGGGGAGGTCCTGTTTTGGTTGTTAGATACCAGAGTTAACCTTCCTATGAATCAGTCATGTATGTGCACCTGACTTTACCACTCTGTCTCATTCTTTCATCATTCAAGACAGGGCTTCTCTGTGTAGCCCTGGCTGTCCTGGAACTCACTTGTAGACAAAGCTGGCCTCAAACTCAGAGATCTGCCTGTCTCTGCCTCCCAAATGCTAGGATCAAAGGTGTGTGCATGCCACCTCTGCCTGTTCAATGTGGTTCTCTTAAAGTATGGGCTACAATGAGCAATATATACAATCTCTGACTTAAGAGACAAAGGGTTTATCAGGTTTATGGAGATAGGCACTTGCATTTTCTGTTCTGTTTTTTAAGATTTATTTATTTATTATGTATACAGTGTTCTGCCTGCAAGTATGCCTGCATGCCAGAAGAAGGCACCAGATTTCATTATAGATGGTTGTGAGCTGCCATGTGGTTGCTGGGGATTGAACTCAGGACGCCTGGAAGGGTAGCCAGTGCTCTTAATCTCTAAGCCATCTCTCCAGCCCATTTTTCTGCTGTTTATCAGACTTTTAATTACTTGTAAAAAATCTTAACAACATCGGGATTTTTCATTATTTTATTTTTTATTATCTTAATAATAATAATGACCATGTGAGCACCAGACATGCATGTGTTACACAGACAAACACTCAGGCACATAAATCTTTTTAAAAATAAAGACAAAGGAGCCAAGAGACTCCTGAAAAGTCCCTAAGAGTAAGAGAACAGATCCTAAAGAATCTTAGTTGATCTTATCAGGAAAAAAAAGAAAAAAGAAAAAGAAAACTTTCTTGGAGCTAACTACAGGGTCTTAAACACCCAGCAAGAGCATATAACTGAAAATAAAATGATAGAGCCCTATTTTAAGAGCAAGAAAACCCTCCCCCAACTCTTATAAAGGAGTCCCCCTTGTGCAGTCCTCTCTCTAGAAACAAGTCCACAGTCTCCTTGCAGTATATTTCAATGGATTTTGTCTTTTGGGGCTCTGGGTAAATTCTTTTTACCACCCAAGTCACAAATCTTCCCTGGGGCATTTCATACAGTAAGAATAATTGTCTCAACTTACACGTGGATAAAATGTAAGTTTCCCTATTCCCTTTAGAGATGCCATTAAGTAATTGGGGGAAATTTCTGTGTCAGTTGGCTCTTTAATAAATAGTGAGTTTTGACATTTTCACCTATTTACTTTTGGTGTGTTGCTGTTGTATCTAATTAACATATTGTTTCTTTGTCTTATTGATTTACAATGGTGTTTGGTTTTTTTAAGATTTTATTTATTTATTATGTACACAACATTCTGCTTCCATGCACATCTGCACACCAGAAGAGGGCACCAGATCTCATAATGGATGGTTGTGAGCCACCATGTGGTTGCTGGGAATTGAACTCAGGACCTCTAGAAGAGCAGCTAGTGTTCTTAACCTCTGAGCCATCTCTCCAGCCCCTACAATGGTGTTTGTTACTAGGGTTTTTCCCCCTAGCTTTGTCATGAGTTGTTTCCATTTAGTGCTGTTGGCCAACGAAAGTGTTTATTTTAATATTTTCTTCATTACTTTTGTCTTTGTTATCATAGTTGCAAAAGAACTTGCCATCATTAAGATTATAAGAATACTAATTCAATTGTTCTTCTAGGTCTTTTATGGATCTGTGTTTTATATTCCAGATTTGATCCATCTAGAGAGTATCTTAGCATAGGAGTTCATAGAACATATTTCTTTTTCATCCAAATAGCGAGACTGCCATGACATCATTTTCTGAATTGTCTATCATTCCTTCCCCTGGTGTTCTAAAAATGCCAGGGGTAGGGATGTCTTTAACATGTATTTAAATCTACACGGTCCTTTAGCCCTCAGCGTCCTCCTTCCTGAGGAGCTAGCCTTAAGAAGCAGGTGGTGGCACACGCCTTTAGTGCCAACACTCGGGAGGCAGAGGCAGGTGGATCTCTGTGAGTTCGAGACCAGCCTGGTCTACAAGAGCTAGTTCCAGGATAGTCTCCAAAGCCACAGAGAAACCCTGTCTTGAAAAACCAAAAAGAAAACAAAAAATATTTTGGCAAGGAATAAATATCTGTCTAGGGAGCTGAGACTTAGTCTGAGTCTTTCAATCCCAATCCTAACCACTCTATCAAATGGGTCTGGGCCAGTAAGGTGACTGGTAGGTAATAATTCCTGGTTGAAGGACAGACCCATTCATACAAACTGTTATTAGGTTTTCTTTTACTCTAGCCACAAACTGGAATGCCAAAATGTTTGTTTTTACTCTTTGGTTTTTTTGTCCTTTGGGGTGCTACCACCCAGGTCCCAAATAAATCACACATACACACACACACACACACACACAAGCAGAGAGAGAGAGAGAGAGAGAGAGAGAGAGAGAGAGAGAGAGAGAGAGAGAGAGGAGGGGGGGACTCACTTATTCTCACTTATAAATGCCCATCCACCTTTTGCCTCTGGGCTTTTTCCTTTTCTTACTTCTTTAATCTTACTTTCACTTACTCTGGGTGGCTGGGTCCTGGCATCCCTCATTTTTCTCTTGCTCCTTCTTCCTCCTCCCAGATTTCTCCTTCTATTTATTCTCTCTGTCTGCCAGCCCACCTATCCTTTCTCCTGGTCATTCAGCTCTTTATTATTTATTAGGTGGTTTTGTTTTTGGTTTGGTTTGGTTTGGTTTTTCGAGACAGGGTTTCTCTGTGGCTTTGGAGGCTGCCCTGGAACTAGCTCTTGCAGACCAGGCTGTTCTCGAACTCACAGAGATCTGCCTGCCTCTGCCTCCCGAGTGCTGGGACTAAAGGCATGTGCCACCATCGCCTGGCCATCAGGTGGTTTAGACAGGCAAAGAATCACAGCTTCGCAGAGTTAAAAAAAAAAAAATGTAACATAAATGAATATAATACATCCTTCGATCATTAAAACAAATGTTCCACAGCATAAGCAAATGTAACACACCTTAAAACATTCCACAACAACAAACTGTTTTCTGACCTCTACAGGCACAGCAAGGCATCCCACTCTAAACAAAATGTGCAGGGCTGTGAGTTGCTATGCTTGCTGTGACCTGTGGTATTCTTTGACTCCTGAGTGCCAGAGTCCCTGTCCAACCGATCGGTCGTCACGCCCACACTCTGAACTCCCCCATAGGTGGGATTCTCACCCTGGATCACACAACTAGTCCAAGTGGCTCCTAAATTCCGAAGCCTGAAGGTGCCTCGTCCATCTTTGGGGTGAGAAATCTTATGAACCGACCAGCGGGTGTTCCTGATTCTTTTTCCGAAATTCTCCCTTCCGGGTTCTGAGCCCTACAGTGAACCCTGAGTCTTGCGTAGTTCAACAATGTCCTCGGCATCCCCAGACTTCAACCGCAGCTCCTCCACAGGACGGCACTCCCCTCCCCTAGAACCTGCCAACACCGGGCCAGCCTTCCACGTTTCTGCCGCAGCTCTGCAGCGGAGCTTCCCACAGTGCCCCGGGGCGCGCGCGGGCTCCTGGGAGTTGTAGTCCGGCGCCGCTCGTTGCTGCTGCAGCATCTACGGGCTCGGCGCCGGCTTTGTCTGCGGGCGCGCGCCGCTGCGGTGAGTGAGGCCCAGGCCGTGTCTGTGCGCCCGGGAGAGGGGGCTGTGTCGTGAGCCCGCCGGCCTGGCCAGGGCGCGTGAACAGGCCAGGCCGGCCGGAGCGCAGTCGTCAGCCTCTGACAAGGGTGGCTGCTTGGACATCGGGTGGGCCGCGGTCGGCTGCGGGAGGGCCCCGCTGCGACGTCCGGGACCCCTGGGGGGGGGGCTGGGACCCCGGGAGCGTGGGAGGGGCCACAGGAAGGTCCAGCTAGGCCAGGAGGGTGCAGAGTCTGTCCGTGCCTACGGAGATGAGACGCCTTGCCTACGGCGTCCAGTGTGGGGGAACTCACCCTCACCCACAAGCTCCTGTTCGCTCCTTTTTAAACTGCCTCGTTAAAGATTTCCTCAGACCCCACAGGTCATCCTGTGTCTGTCCTCCAGCCCCTCTCGCCTGAGAATGCTCCATTTTAGGCCTTGAATTTGTAGGGTGTGTCTCAAATGTAAGCGATCCCTCACGTTCTGGTCATCAGTTCTTCCAAAAGCTAATGAGATGATGTGAACTTGTTTAGTAAGTGAAGAAACTAGAGTCGGGGTCTTAGGTTGCTTTGCTCCAGGTCAAACACCTAGGGAACCAAGGCAAAGAAGGATCCAAGCCTGTCAGAGCCAAATGCTGAGCCGTGATGGCATTTGTAATAGGAAAAGCGGTGTTTTGTGTAATGAAACCACTTTTCTCCTAGTGTCTTTGAGAATTTGATTGCTCTGACTTGAGATCATGGCTCTCCCTTAACAATTTCCTGTAGTCAGTTTCCTGTTTGTAGACACAGTTGGGGGGATATTTGTTGGATACCTCTTAGCAGGTGGAGAGTTTGAAGTATACTTTCTGCTCACTTATTCTGACTTGACCATGTTTTCTACATACTCCAAAAGTCCAACCCCAGGGAGGTGGTACCAAGAGCTTTTCTTTGTGAATGTGCAGGGGTTTTTGTTGGTTTTATTATTAATCAGTAATACCTTGTATTTCTAAACGAATGCATTTGCACCATTTCAGGGGAGCCCTTTGTATTTGGCGTTTATCAGCGAATGAGATAATATGACTGAATGGGTAGAAGGGTCAGCTACTTGGTTAATAAAACAGAATTATAACATCAGATTGCTAATTCATTAAGCTAGGAGTCCAGCATTTTGATTGGACATACTGAGATAAAGATGAGACTGTGTACCACTGCACAAATAAGTGCACAAATCCAGGAATTTGATCCTTACATAAGCATTCTAAAGAGAAAAGGTGATGGTTTGGATCTAGATCCTGCTAAGAATTGCCAGAAGGTAGCAAGAAGTCTTTCCTTAGGTCCTTGTAAACTCGGGGGAACTGGAAAGGAGGGCTGAAGCTCTGACTTTATACCAGTCAGGAAGGCCCTGATGTTGACTATTTGGATTTGAGGGATAAAATCAGCAACAGTGGCCTGGGAAGTAGAAGACCCCAATCTTAAGTCAAGACCAAAGTACAAACAGAAGTGACCCTTAACTGGGAACTAACAGGAAGAGGTCGGTGTTTATATGTCGTCTGCTTCCCACTTCTCTGTGCTCCAAGATTCATTTTTGTGAGGTCAGTCCTGATCTCTGTAGCCACCTTTGAAGTGATATCCCAAAGTGGACCTGTTGTTAACTTTCTCTTTCTCAATTATCAATCCTACCCTTTATTGTTTGTTCTTTGGTTTGGTTTGGTTTATTTTATTTTCTGTCCCTCAGGTACTCAAGACCAGCCCATGGAAGAATCATATGAAGAAGTGGTGATTAAAGTCATAGAGCAGGAGTGGACATGTTTGGGTTTCCAACAGCTACCCTGCTGGACTGTCACGGAAGATATGCCCAGAATGTAGCATTTTTCAGTGAGTGAGTCAGCCAATTGCTGAGATACCTTCAGAGTCCCTGTTCTCAGTACTGAGAAGCAGAAGATGAATTCATTTGGTGAAGCTTGCTATTCTTCGGGGTTGCAGGGAAAGCCTGCAAGCTGGAATTAGAAATGATACTCAAAACAAAACAAGAAAACAATTGATATGGAGGCAGTTTAGAGGGTGTTTCAGGCCCAATGAGTGCCTTTAACTCTCAGCTCTGTCACTGAGTATGAAAACATTAGGGAAACAAGGAAGAAATGTCTCTAGGATGACTGCTAGAAAATGAATAGACTAGTTCAACTCTACTCTAGCTTAGTAGACTGAAAATTAGCATGAATTTTAAAAGAAGAAATTCCAATCACATTTGCATTATTAAAGGAGTTATATAACTTCCTTAAGCTTCAGGCTTTTCATCTGTATAATGAAATAGATAAGAAGCTGTATCTTGTAAGAATTTGAGGCACAGACAAAATACCTAAAATCTTGCTGTTTATTTTCTGAGATCATAAACTGTCAGGAGAGCAGACTGGAATTGGGTGACTTTCATGCAACATTCCTGGCTATTCTAGAACTCGCTCTGTAGACCAGGCTGGCCTCAAGCTCACAGAGATCTGCCTGCCTCCATCTCCCAGGTGCTGGGACCCACCCACCAGCCTCTATGAGCCTGCTTTTATTGCTTATAAAGTAATTGTCTCACTGCTGGAGCGATGGCTCAGTGGTTAAGAGCACTAGCTGCTCTTCCAGAGGACCTGGGTTCAATTCCCAACACCCCCCCAAAAAAATGATAATAATAATAATCGGGGTTTTTTGGGGGGGTTGTTTGTTTGGTTGTTTTTTGTGGTTTTTTTTGTTTGTTTGTTTGTTTGTTTTTCATGACAGGGTTTCTCTGTGGCTTTGGAGACTGTCCTGGAACTAGCTCTTGTAGACCAGGCTGGTCTCGAGCTCACAGAGATCCGCCTGCCTCTGCCTCCCCAGTGCTGATAGTAATCGTTTTAAAGGCAGTACATAGCTATGGAGCATACTAATATTTGAATCCCAGATAAGACATCTATTAATAGTTATGTGTGACCTCCTATTTTCTTACCTGTAGCAATCTCAGGATGATTTTCAAGATTCTATTATGGCCGGGCATTGGTGGCACACACCTTTAATCCCAACACTCTGGAGGCAGAGGCAGGAGGTTCTCTGAGTTCGAGGCCATCAAGGCCAGCCTGGTCTACAGATCAAGTGTCAGGATAGGCTCCATAGCTACACAGAGAAACGGTGTCTCAACAATTAAAAAAAATTTTTTTTTAAATTTATGTATGCAAAGTTCATAATAAAATGCCTGGCACATAATAAGCACTCTAAGGGTTATGTTTCTTTTTCTCCTGTTCTTCTCACTCAGCATATTGGTGCATCTTACATGACTTCCCTCTCGTTTTATCAGATGTGATGACGGAAGCCCACAAGTATGATCATTCAGAGGCCACAGGATCGTCAAGCTGGGATTTCCAGAGTTCTTTCAGAAGAGAGAAGGTGGAACAAAAGTCCCCAGATTCAAAGACACTACAGGAAGACTCTCCTGGAGTGAGACAGAAGGTCTATGATTGCCAGGAATGTGGGAAATCTTTCCGGCAAAAAGGTAGTCTAACGTTGCATGAGAGAATCCACACTGGGCAGAAGCCCTTTGAGTGCACCCAGTGTGGAAAAAGCTTCAGGGCCAAAGGCAACCTAGTTACACATCAGCGAATACACACAGGAGAGAAGCCCTATCAGTGCAAAGAGTGTGGCAAAAGCTTTAGTCAGAGAGGCAGTCTAGCTGTCCATGAGAGACTCCACACTGGACAGAAACCCTATGAATGTGCCATTTGCCAGAGAAGCTTCAGGAATCAAAGTAACCTTGCTGTTCACCGAAGAGTTCACAGTGGTGAGAAGCCCTATAGATGTGACCAGTGTGGAAAGGCTTTCAGTCAGAAAGGAAGCCTAATTGTCCACATCCGAGTTCACACAGGTCTGAAGCCCTATGCGTGTTCCCACTGCAGGAAGAGCTTCCACACCAGGGGAAATTGTATTCTGCATGGAAAAATCCACACAGGAGAGACACCCTATCTCTGTGGCCAGTGTGGAAAGAGTTTCACACAGAGAGGGAGCCTGGCTGTGCACCAAAGAAGCTGCTCCCAAAGGCTCACCCTGTAACCACTCTCGTCAAAGGAAGGTCTTAGGAATTAAGAATACAAAACCCTCTGTAACCAAGAAGTTTATCTAATTCTATAGGGTAAGTGGAAATTCTTCCGGAAGGACCAGCATTTGATAGGGCAAACTGACTTTTTCCCCTTCCCCCAAATGAATATGAAAAATAAATGTCTTGCTTTATCATTATCATGTATTTTTCATAATTTCTTTATTTGATATATCTTCCTAAGGTACACTCATTCATCTGTCATGTCACACTTGACCTTGATTTTAGTATAGCAGATACAGATTATATTTGTAGCATATACCATAAGCCCTTTAAAAAGTCCACTCCTGGGCTATAGGGAAGGCTCAGCCCTTAAAGGCTAAGCTCATCAGTCTCAAGGGCCTTTTGTTCTGTACATACTCAATTTGTTGGGTCCCCCCCCCAGACAGGGTTTCTCTGTGTAGCTTTGGAGGCTGTACTGGAACTCACTGTTAGACCAGGCTGGCCTTGAACTCACAGAGATCCACCTGAGTGCTGGAATGAAAGGTCTGCACCAAGCCTGGCAGTGATTGCGCATGCCTTTAGTCCCAGCACTCGGGAGGCAGTGCTGGGATTAAAGGCATGAGTCACCAACGCCCAGCCTTTACTAATGTTTTTATTGAACCTAAATAATGCATCAGCTCAGCCTTTAATCCCAGCACTCAGGAGGCAGAAGCAGGTGGTTCTCTGTGAGTTTGAGGCCAGCCTGGTGTCCAGAGTGAGTGCCAGGATAGACTCCAAAGCTACACAGAGAAACCCTGTCTCGAAAAACCAAAAAATAATAATAATAATCATAATGCATCAGCTCAGTAACCTAATAGACCACTAGTGTCTATAGCTGAAGCCCCAGCCTTATAAAACAAGTTTTCCTTACAAGTTTGCAAAGGTTTGGAGAATACACACTGATATTTTCTTCAGCCCTACTAATTATAACTATCTCATTTTTTTAAGAATCCTACATTTGTATGTTACTTTTCATCAAGGGAATTCCAAACTCCCTGAGAAACACAGTGGCCTTCACTCTTTTTTAAGTAATTCCTTTGAAGACAGAAGCATAGTGTTAAGGTTGAGAATACCTAGAAAGAAAAGACTCAATTTTCATTCTAACTGAGCTAACTAGTTTGTAGTCAGTTAATGATGTTCCACTCCTCGAGCAATACTGTGCTCCTCCTACACACTGATAATTTGGAAACATAACTCCCTCTTAACTCTATTTTTAACCTTCAAGGGATAAGATTTGAAGAGAGGAGAGGCTGGTTCTGTGGACAAATTTTCATGTTTTAATCTGAAGCCAGTATAATTCTTCTTGCTGAGCGTTTTTGTAAATAACTGATGAATGATGTATAGAAGTTTTCGTGTAAAGGTAGTGTCTTAGTTAGGATTACTATTTGTACAATGAAGCACCTTGACCAAAAGCAAGTTGGGTGGAAAGGGTTTATTAATCATCAAATGAAGTCAGGACAGGAACTCAAACAGGGCAGGAACCTGGAGGCGGGAGCTGATGCAGAAGCCATGGAGGGATGCTGTTTACTGGCTTGCTCCTCATGGCTTGCTCAGCCTACTTTCTTATGGAACCCAGGACCACCAGCTTAGGCATGGCACCATCCACAATGAGCTGGGCCCTCCCCCATCAATTACTAATTAAGAAAATGCCTTACAGGCTTTTTTTTTTTTTTTATGACAGGGTTTCTCTGTGCAACCGCTCTGACTGTCCTGGACCTCACTATGTAGACCAGGCTAGCCTTGAATTCAGAGATCCATTTGCCTCTGCCTCTAGAGTGCATGCAAGGATTAAAGGCATGTGCCACCAACACCAGTTTACAACCCTACTTTTTTTTTTAAGTTTTATTGGGACACAGCTATAATCTTTCATTTGTTTTAAATTAATTTATTTTTTTATTTGATGTACATTGGTGTTTTGCCATGGGTGTCAGGTCCCGTGGAACTGGATTAGAGACAGGTACAAACTGCTATGTGAGTGCTAGGAATTGAACCCAAGTCCAAGAGCAGCCAGGCAGCCAGTGCTCTTAACTGCTGAGCCATCTTTCCAGGCCCCCTACAATCCTATCTTAACAGAGGTTTTTTTTGGTTTTTTTTTTTTTTTTTTTTTTTTTTTTTTTTTTTTTTTCCTGAGAAAGAAAGGGTTTCTTGTGTAGCCCTGGCTGTCCTGGAACTCTCTGTAGACCAGGCTGGCCTCAAGCTCACTCTCTCTGCCTCTCTCTCTCTCTGCCTCTCTCTCTCTCTCTCTCTCTCTGCTTCTCTCTCTCTGCCTCTCTCTGCCTCTCTGCCTCTGCCTCTGCCTCTGCCTCTGCCTCTGCCTCTGCCTCTGGATTGCTGGGATTAAAGGTGTATGCCACCACCACACAGATCAGAGGTATTTTCTTATTGAGGTTCCCTCCTGTAGATGACTTTGACTGATACCCCGTTGACATACAACCATGTGGCACAGGTACCATTCTGTTCTTTGTCGTAGACCTTTTAAACTGTAACCTCCTTAATCCCAAAAGGCTCATGCTAGCAAATCATCATCTACAGGGTTAAATTATGTCAAAGGTCTTTGGGCATTCAAACTTTATGGATTTGATTAGTGAGAAAGGGTACTCCCAGAAATACCTAGATAACATTTGACAATGTATTCAAGACTATAACATTTCCATTTGTAATGGCCATTTGTAATTATACACTAAAAATTGAAATTAAAAAAAAAAAAAAAACTGGGCTGGGCATTGGTGGCGCATGCCTTTAGTCCCAGCTCTCAGGAGGCAGCAGGTGGATTTCTGTGAGTTCAAAACCAGCCTGGTCTACAAGAGCTAGTTCCAGGACAGCCTCCAAAGCCACGGAGAACCCTGTCTCCAAAAACCAAAAAGAAAAAAAAAAAAAACTGGAATACTTATGCAGTGGAATTAAACCCAGCAATAAAATATGTCAACAAAACATGTACATGGATGATTGGACAATATTATGGATAAATCAGAAAATCTTACATTGTATCTGAACACAGATATATAGTGTATGACTCCCCTGTAATTCTTCATAGAACAAGAAGAGCTAATAACTGACTTGAAAGATCAGGAGAGAACTCTATGAAATGGAAAAATGGAGAAAAAGAATGTTCTATACAGTCAAGTGGTATATGCATGGGTCCATATAGTCATTAACATCTGTTGAATTCATAGTTAAGATCTGTATATGTAAGGCATACCTCAATAACAATCAGGCAGTTCTAACATACTGCACACAAGTTCTTTGTTCTGTGTTCACAGGAGGAAACCTCAAACACAGGCTGATAAACAGGGTAAGTTAATAGAAAACAGAAATGATGCCACTTTATTTCCAATGGTAGGCATCAAAAACCCTGGCAAGGGCTTCAAAGTTTGCCTGCTTCTTTTGGAACACTTACTCTATGGGAAATCAGCTGCCATGCATTGAAAAAGAAGCCACTGCATTGTACAAGCTCCATGAATGCTCCAATTGATAGGTTCCGCTCAACAGACAGAATCAACCCTCTTAATTTTGTTTCTCTTGCAATGATAAAATTCCCTGAGAAAAGCAAGTTAGGGAAAAAAGTATATTTTTGTTTATAGTTCCGTGTCAAGGAAGGTATGGCTAAAGGAACATGAAGGCAGCTCAGCACAATGGATCAGCAGTCCAGAGGGGAGACAGGGCCGAGATACAGAACCTCAAAGCTTGCCCCAGGTGACATACATCCTCCAGCAAAGCTCCACCCCCTAATGGTTTCATAGCCTTTCCAGACAATGCCACTGGAAACACATGAGCCGATGAACATTTTGCAGTCAGACCACAACAGACGTCTAACCACAGTAATGAATCACTTCGATGTCCAGTCCATAGGTGTCTACAGTCTAAGATGACATCTGGTGAACCTGACCCCATAGTGTCAGCCAAGCCCTGTTCTTATCTGGATCCCCTCCTAAGCACCTTCAGGGGGTAGCAGGATGTACTTCCTTTTAGTTGTAGAGATGAGAACTCCAGCTTCTTACTGGATTATCTAAGGAGCCCTTCAAGTTTTCTGACACCATGTGGCCATTTTCTTGAAAGAGAAGCTGTCCTTGAAGTTGCTAAGTGCACAGGCCTATGATAATGTTATAGCAGAGACATCCCATCAAGTTTGCATAGTGTGCCAGTTGGAACCTGTTACTATGCAATTATGAAAAATGCAGAATTATTTGTAGTTAAGGCTACAGGTGGGGCATAGCCCAATTCTTGAGAAACAGAGGTTTAATCATGAACAGGTGTTAATCCTTAGATTCTGAAGAGAAACACCATAAATAAAAATGTAAACTGGCCTGGGCAGTGGTGGTGCGTGCCTTTAATAACAGCTTTCCAGGGGCATATGTGGGCTACCGGTTGGACATTCGTGACACAGCTTTACCTGAAGTCCCTTTTGGGAGAAGATAGAACACAATAGGAAAGCAGTCTTTAGTCCTTTTGGTAAGTGAAACCTAACTATGGATAATACTATCAATTCCATAGAACCTTGCTGATATTTTCTTTCAGAAATAATGGCAACAATCATTGTGCCTCTTTCATGCTAAAAAAATATATTTTCTGATTTGGGATTCCATTGACCTATGAAATCAAGCTTTTGGTCTACTTTTTTGTTCTTTATATCCACATATATTACTGTTGGCTTTATAAGGGTGTGTGTGTGTGTGTGTGTGTAGGTTTGTACACATGAACACAGGCACCTGAGGCCAGAAGATGGTGTTGGGTTCCTTAGCATTAGAATTACAGGCGGTTGTGAGCTGCACAATATGGATCTGAAAACTCTCCTCAGGAAATAAGAACATGAAATATCCAGCGATCATTTCTTTTCTTTCTTTTTTAAAATTTTTGACATGGCCTTCTCGAATTCACAATCCTCTTGCCTCGGTCTCTCTGGTGATGAGATTACATGCGTGCACTACACTGCTCACTCGAAGCGGTTAGTAACAGGTTCAGAAGAATTTTAAGGTTGAAGACGATATTATACAGATTATTTCCCCTCCAGCAGTATTTTAAGATATGAAAAATACTTTGGGGGGGAGCGTTGGTGGTGTAAGCCTTTAATCCCAGCACTCGGGAGGCAAAGGCAGGCGGATCTCTGTGAGTTCAAGGACAGCCTGGTCTACAGAGTGAGTTCCAGGACAACCTCCAAAGCTACACAGAGAAACCCTGTCTCGAAAAACAAACAAAATTGGGAGGAATTATAAAAGTACTCGTATGTGTTTGCAATGAAAAGAGTAAAAAACAATTTGAACCACCACGCAGGACCCACCTCGGCCACAAATTGCTGGATCTCAAGAGCAGTGGTGGTCCACCATCCCCGGAAGTGGACTCGGAAGTAGAGCTTCACCGCCCGCGTGGCCTGCTGGGACTTGTAGTTCGAGTCCTCGACGATGCCCTGGAGTGCTGCGTTACCAGGTGTGGGTCTTACCTCCGCAAGAGGTGAGCAGGGCTGGGCTGCGTCAGGGGCGGACAGTGGTGTGCTGGTCCAGACGAAGGGGCGCAGCGACCCGGAGCCAGGCTCAGAGGCTTGGAACGCGCCCTGTGGCCGGGGCCCCACGTGCTAGCAGCCGCGGTACCCCGAATCACACCCCGGGACAAGGCCACCCCACGGAGGCCAGGCTCCTGCGGCAGAACAAACCGCGGTTCCGAGGGCACCCTCCTCTTGCTCCGCCGAGCTCCGGCCTGGGCGGGTGTGGGGACGCTGTCGTTAGTTAGCCTTCTCCGCTCCTGTCGAGTGACTTGGCCTTTTTCCAAGGATGGTGTTGGTCAACATCAGAAGAACACGAGGGACTCCTGAGAGATCCCAAGGGGTACTGAGGTTTCGGCTGTGCAGCACGGCCACCTGCATTCTGCAAAACATAAGGTTAGGGAAGGGGTATTAGGTAGCTAGAATACACACTGAGAGAATACACAGAATCTGAGAAAGCTTCCTCCAGAACCTAAGGGCAAAATTGGGGAAGTCTGAGGAGATGGTACGCCCTAGAGAACTATCTTTCGAAGAATATGCCCCTGTCTGAGAATGTGGCCAAGCTCCTGGTGATTTGGAATTTCAGTAAAAATGCCCCATCTCTGAGCTAGACAGAGGTTTTCTTTCTTAGAACGAAGTAAGACATCAGCATCGAGTACCTGCCTTGAGTCTGGTTTTTACTCTATCGTCAAGCTTCGTTTTGAGATTGGGTATTCAGTGGAAGCTGAACAAGGGCATTGGGACATTAATATATTTATCAAATCGTATCAACGGGTTCTGTATAGGTGCCCTAGGACTGTGAAGTTCCACATGAGTTGTCTCTACACTCCCTTGCCACTGTGTGGAGCACTACTTAAAGCATCCAACCAGGTTCTTCTACTGAAAGACTGGAAGCATTTTTGCCCTGTCATCTGAAAGTTGGCTTTTTCCTATTAGACATTTCACTCATGTGTTTACATCTTCGTTGCTAAAACCAAAATATCTTAGGTAATGAATTTGTAAGGAGCAAATATTTACTTCTCACAGTTCAGTTGTTTTAGTCTATCAGCACTTGACCTGATTTTGGACCTATAGTGTGGGATAGGACCTGGATCCCAATATCATTAAGGGCACTCCCCCAGTGACCTAAATTCTTCCTACTAGGCCCTACTGCCTAAGGATGCCTCCACACAATTAGTGCCACAAGTTGGCAACCAAGCCCTTTGGGAAAAAAAAATGTAGCTCCTTGGAGATCATTCAAAGTTTATATATGCTAAATTTGATGCTAAGTGGCCTTGGGAAAACAAGATTATAAACTGAAGTTTATTGTCAGGCGGTGGTGGCAGAGGCAGGCAGATCTGTGAGTTCGAGGCCAGCCTGGTCTACAGAGTGAGTTCCAGAACAGCCAAGGCTGCATGGAGAAACCTTGTCTCGAGAAACAAACAAAAATCCTGAAGTTTTTCTTCAAAGAACTCATCCTTTTGATGAGATTTATGTGTCTACAAAAAAAAATGCATTTGATGATTAGTGTTGACAACTGGATTGAATTGAGGGGTTCCTAGGAATTAGTAAAGCACACTTCTTGAGTTTGAGTCTTTCCAGGGAGTATCAGATCCTGAAGGCTTGAGCCCCATGAATGTTTCATTGGTGGATCTTTGAGACTATTGGAAGGTGGTGGAACTGTAGAAGGTGGAGCCTTGTCACTGGGTTGAGGCGTGTCCTTGGGAGTCGTATCTGCCCCTCACTCTTTCCTATTGTTCTGCTCTATTTATGCCTGCCCAGTTGAACAGCATGCTCCCACAGTCCCCACAATGATGGAGTGAAACCTCTAAACCCATGACTCACAGTAAATCTTTCTCCTTAGGTTGCTTTGTGGGCATTTTGCAACAAGAAAGCAATTGACCCATGTTGCTGTGACAGTGATGAGCATGAGGAACTTATGTTCCAACAGCAGCACAACAGTCACAGAATCATGCCTGAAAAGGTGCACGAAAGTCATGCTGGGGTTTTTTAAACTGAAGATTCCTAGCCCTGCCCCCAAAGGAGAACAGCATTCCTTTCCCATCCTCCTTCTTACCTCTCTGCACCCAGCATTTTATTGTGAAATACCTCTACGGATGCTTAGTGCCAAGTGTATCTAGTGGGAGGTAAGATGAGTTGCCTAACTAGATCTTTTCTGCTCTGTTTGCACTGTTCCCTTTCACCAACATGTCTGCATATTTAGTTACAATAAATTTTAAATTGAAAAGTAGTTGCCAGGTGTGGTGGCACACTCCTTTAATCCCAGCATTTGGGATGCCTGGGTAGGCAGATCTTTGTGAGTTCTAGACCAGCCAGGGAGTTCCAGGACAGTCAGAGCTACATAGTGAGACCCTTATCTTTTTTCTAAAATAGTTTTTCAAGATAGGGTTTCTCTGTGAAACAGTCATGGTTGTCATGGAACTCCTGCTATAAACCAGGCTGGCCTCAAACTCAAGAAATCTGCCTGTCTCTGCCTCCCAAGTGCTGGGACTAAAGGCATACGCCACCACCACCCTGCAAGACACTATTTAAAAGAGTGAAAGATTACTAAACAGCAATTTTAAAAAAGTTCCCTCATTTTCTTGGGCTAGGGAGATGACTCAGTAAAGTGCTTGCTGTGTGAGCATGAGCACCTAAATTGGAGCCTCCGGAACCCATGAGAAGGGCCAGACTCAGCAGTGTACACACTGTAATCCTAGTGCTGCAGAGGCAAAGACAGTCCCTGGTGATTGCTGGCCAACCAGACTACCAACAAGCTCCAGTGTCCCTGAAGACCCTATGTCAAATAATAAGTAATAATAATAATAATAATAATAATAATAATAATAATAATAATAATAAGGCAGATGACAGAGGAAGGCTCTGTTGGTCCACCTAGCCTCCAGCCTCCACTCACAGACACACAGAGGTATGCACCCAAACACACAGAGGTACACAGAAAAAATAGCTTCTCATCTTCTCCCTAAGTCCACACATAGTTACCTCAGCCTTGACTCTTAGCACCATAGAGTGCTTGGGTGGATGGGACCCCTGCTTTGCTCTAATGCTGACAATGTGTGACACTTAAAGAACTGTGACTCTGAGCTGAAGGGAAGGGCCTTATGTCCTTGGTTGCAGAGAACAGCAGAGCCAGATTCTCAGAAGTAAGGCCATTCCTCGTAAGTAAGTAGGCCATCCAGGAGTGACGGCAAATGTCTGTCATGCCAGCATTGAGACGGCAGGATACACACAAGTTCAAGGCCAGTCTGGGCTATACAATAAGACTCTAAGATTTCTTTTTAATTGAAGGGTGTTACTTTCCCAGTACTCTTCTGTGTTCTAGAGTCTGTCCTTGATTTCTTCTGAAAGGCTAGTGTTCCAGTTTAACTTCCTTCTCTGTGCCCATGGGAAAGTAACTTTATCATCATGGACCTCGGTTTCCTCATCTGTGAAATGAGGCATTAGCTGGGATGATTTTTAGGTTCTCTTTTAGTTGTCTCGTCTCATTATTTTCTAAACTGAACATCTGTCAACTAGATTCCAAGTCATTTGTGCTAGTTGCTGGGCATTTAAAGCTTAACTGAGCATGACCCACACATTTAGAATTATACAGCCAGTCATAGTAAAGGTATGTCAGAGATGCTATGATGTCACAAAGGAGAAGTCCCAGTGCATCCTACCGCTTCAGAAAGGGTCTTGTGAATTGGTCTGAGGCTGGGAATTCTAGAGTGGATAGAAATGAATGAATGGCAGAAGCAATGTAGAAAGAACTAGGGCAGACTGTGCCGTCTTTAGATGACTCCAGAAACATGGCATCATGTTTCTCTGCTTCTGCATTACTGTTCCCCCCCCCCCAAATTGAATTGCTAGATATGTAAGAGAGACTCTGAAAAGGAAGCAGAAAGTCATATGACGACCCGGCTGTAGCTCCAAACAGTTTGGTACTTGTCCATCAGGAATAGGAGACTCCTATCCTGACCTTCCTCTACACTTGGCCTTAGGAGATTAATCCACTTTCCCTCAGTAAGTTAGCTGCATCTCCTGCAGGCTGTTGTGTTTCCTGAGTTGCTGCCTCAGCCTCAGGTGAGAACTGTTTTAGCCAGTCCAGGTTATAAAACAGCAGCACAAAAAAAAGGGGGGGGGGCTGGAGAGATGCCGCAGAGGTTAAGAGCACTGACTGCTCCTCCAGAGGTCCTGAGTTCAATTCCCAGCAACCACATGGTGGCTCACAACCATCTGTTATGAGATCTGGTACCCTCTTCTAGTGTGCAGATATACATGGAAGCAGAATGTTGTATACATAATAAATAAATAAAAACTTTAAAAAAAAAAAAAAAAAAAAAATAAAAAAAAAAAAAAAAAAAAAAAAAACAGCAGCACTGCCCTCCGAAGAGATAGCTGTTGAGCTCTTTCCTGACAGACACACTACTGAACTGAACTACTTTGGGCTCCATTTAGGTCCTATCATTCTTAACATAATCTATCACTCTGCTTTTCAAAGTGTGGTTGTTGGCTAGTATCAGCCATGAAAGCATAAGCAATAGGAATTGAGAGTAAGTGTTTATTAAACAACAAAGTGGTTCTGCGCCACAGGTAGGTAGAGAAATAATTGTGAGGCCTTGGGGAATAGATGTTGTTTTCTCTGTGCTGGAGAACTTTAATGGGGATGGAGTGAACGCAAGAACGTGAACAGACAAGATGAGCTCAGCCACAGGAAGAGGAAATTAAAACCAGAAAAAAAAAAGTGATAGTGCGTGCTCTCTGGATGTGATGGTCAAGGGAGAGCATCTTCTGGCAGGCAGCAGCTTGGCTGAGACCTGAATGACATGGAGCCAGGTGTGAGACGTGCAAAAAGAACGTTCTACTCAGTTTTCTGCTGTTTCTTGCCCAAGCAGAGGCAGCCACCCTCCTGGGTTGTTTTTTATTTCCCCCTTCCAATAAATCTCTTGTGTGAAGTTTGTTATCCAGTGTGACTTGTATTCCTTGGCTTCCGGCTGCCAGGATACCCTTCATCCAAGCTGTAACACTTACACTGTAGGTCTTATTTTCTTTCCTTATACTTTTTTTTCCTGTTTTTATTTTCAGAACTCTTAAGACATGAAGGTTTGAGTTTTAGTGCCCACAGTCCGTACATACAGCTGGTTGGTTTACAGTATATTGTATTATATATGTTTATAGGCTTTAATTTGGTATTATCATTGTTAGTGTATTTGTCTTTCATCCCAGAACTTGTGAGACAAAAAGATTTCTATTTGGTTTCTTATAGCGCTAACAGTTATGAAAGTAGTATACTGATTAAATGGACATTTAGTCAAAAATAAGTGAAATGGAATGAAATGTTACTTGTGGCAAGGTAAAGTAATCATGGTCTTTCACAAGAAGAGTAAATGAATATCTTATCATCTCTGCTTAAAAGCAGAGAAGAAGGGGCTGGAGAGATGGCTCAGAGGTTAAGAGCACCAACTGCTCTTCCAGAGGTTCTGATTCAATTCCCAGCAACCACATGGTGGCTCCCAACCATCCGTAATGAGATCTGGTGCCCTCTTCTGGTGTGCAGATATATATAGAAGCAGAATGTTGTATACATAATAAATAAATAAAATTTTTAAAAAATAGCAGAGAAGAAATGCCTGTCTTCTGAACCCAGGTTTCTCTCTCCCAGTGATAACCCGAAAGGTATAAACACAAACTAGGAGCTGAGGCTATAGAGCAGTGACTAGCATGCATGAGATCCTTGGTTCAATACCAAGCACCACCCAAAAAAGGGGTGGGGGGATAGAGGAGAGAGAAGAAAGCAAGCTAGTTAAATTTGGGTTACCAAGTCTTGAGGTCTTAGATCCTCCTATTCTGGAATCCTTTCTTCTTATCTCTAAATTCTCTGTTTCCTAGGAAAGTCAAACACAAATTCTGTGGAGAACCTACAAGAGAAAGGCCTTCAGGGAGCTGGAGAAATGACTCAGAGACTAAGAACACCTGTGGCTCTTACAAATTCAGTTCCCAGCACCCACATGGTGGCCCACAACCATCCATAACTCCAGTTCTAGGGGATCCAGTGACCTCTTCTGACCTCCATAAGTACCAGCAGGCATGTGGTGGACAGACATACATGCAGGCAAAACACTTATACAAATGAAATAAAAATATTGAGGGGGGGATTTCAGATTTATCATAGTAGCTTTCCTAGTGGCAAATTTAGGAAAAGATGGCCAGTCAGTACCTGGATGTTGAATTTATATTGTGAATCTTCAAGAAGTACTCACAGACGTTGAAATAGATTCCTGTCAGTGATTTCACTAACACTGGAAGTGAAAAAATATTTATCTTTGAAGTCCCAAGCCAAATGGCCGGACAGGACTCCTCCGTGAAGCTGTGTAAGGAGCCTCAGAGGAAAAGAGTTCTCTGTGTTACTGAAGAAAGAACTGGGAAAAGGAGTAAGGGGGGTGTCATCCCATAGTCCACTGTTCAGAGAATCACACCTGATGTAACAGAACCAACCACTATCTCCATCGTTCCCTAGTGAGACAGCTTGCCAAAATGTCCAGTCCAAAGACTCTTTAGTTCCCTTTGACTGTGACAATAAAGACATTTGTAGATGGGAACCACCATTAGTCACCTGCAGTCTTCAGAGAATCCACACAGAGGAACCCTATAACTGGAATGACTCCAGAAAGGCGCCTAGCACAACCCAGATGGTCATCTCAAGAAAACGCCCACTTCAGAAACTATACAGATGTGGTCAGTGTGGTGAGAACTTGACTCAGAACGCAGAGCTAATGCTTCATCAGAGAGACCACCTGAAAGGAAAAGCCTGCGGGTGTGAGCATTGTGGGACCGGTTCACCGGGAGCTCCTCTGCTCGTCCATCAGGCAGTCCCCATGGATGAGAGACCTTACAAGTGTGACAAGTGTGGGAAGGGCTTCACCAGGAGCTCCAGTCTGCTCGTCCATCTTGCAGTCCATACGGGTGAGAAACCCTACAAGTGCAACAGGTGTGGGAAGGGCTTCAGTCAGAGCTCCAAGCTCCACATCCACCAGCGAGTCCACACTGGAGAGAAGCCGTATGGGTGTGAGGAATGCGGCATGAGCTTCAGTCAGCGGTCAAACCTGCATATCCACCAGCGTGTCCACACGGGAGAGAGGCCCTACAAGTGTGGGGAGTGCGGAAAGGGCTTCAGCCAGAGCTCGAACCTCCACATCCACCGCTGTATCCACACGGGGGAGAAGCCCTACCAATGCTGTGAGTGTGGGAAGGGCTTCAGCCAGAGCTCAGACCTGCGAATCCACCTCAGGGTGCACACTGGAGAGAAGCCCTACCCCTGTGGCAAGTGTGGGAAGGGCTTCAGCCAGAGCTCCAAACTCCTCATTCATCAGAGAGTGCACACTGGAGAGAAGCCCTATGAGTGCAGCAAGTGTGGGAAGGGCTTCAGCCAGAGTTCCAACCTCCACATCCACCAGCGGGTTCACGGGAAGGACCTTCACTGACATTGGCTGGCTCAGCACTGCAGAATACTTTTATTGTAAAGATAAATACTTTTCATGGCTGAGGGCACAGGCCAGTGGTAGAGTGCCTGCCTCAAATGTATAAAGCCCTGGGTTTGCATTCCAGTACCCACCCCGCAACATTTCCAGCTTAATACCTTGTACTTGAAGGAGTGTGTGTGTGTGTGTGTGTGTGTGTGTGTGTGTGTGTGTGTGTGTTTATGTAGAGAGGAGTGCACGTGCTGTGCAAGTATGTGCATGCCTGTGTGCACATGTGTGTGCAGGTCACAGGACATCTCAGGTGCTCAGATGCTCATGAACTTTTTGTTTGAGACTGGGGTCCCTCACTTGTGGTCTGGAATGTCACCCAGTAAGCTAGGCAGCGAGTTCCATGGATCTACCTGTCTACACATCCCAGCTCACCATGGCTAGGATTATACCTGTGTGACACCACACCCAATCTGTTATGTGGATTCTGTCTCAAGCTTGCAAGACAAGAGCTTTACTGACTGAGCTATCTCCCCATGTCCTGGCTTAATACTTTTGACTCTTACCTTTGTAATTCTCAAAAGGAAAAGATAGAAAGGGTTATTCACCAGGAAAAAAGAAAATCAATCCTTCCTTATAAGTATCTGAGCACTCAGCACATTTCATTCATGTTCAACAATGAATGGATGATTCTGGTTTCTTAGATGGGTAGAGTGTACATGGCAATTCTTCTAGTGTTGTTAGAAGTATATGCTGCCAAGATTGGTGGCACATGCCTTTAATCCCAGCACTTGGGAGGCAGATCTCTGTGAGTTCAAGCCCAGCCTGGTTTTCAAAGAGAGTTCCAGGACAGTCTCCAAACCTACAGAGAAACCCTGTCTCAAAAACAAACAAAAAATGGTAGCTTTAAATCTTTTGAGATGAGCTATGCAGCCCAGGCTGGCCTTGAGTTTATGATCCTCTTCCTCAGAGGCAGAGGCAGGAGGATCTCTGTGAGTTCAAGGCCAGCCTGGTCTCCAGAGCTAGTGCCAGGATAGGTTCCAAAGCTACACAGAGAACCCTGTTTCAAAAAACCCAAAAAAAAAAAAAAGAAGTATATTCCACAATTTTACTTGCAGGAAATTTGTATTTTTCCAAGCGCAGTATGCTTCCTTTGTTCATATTCTCTAAGAAATTGGAATTCATGTTTCCTTTCAAATTATGTGCCTAGTTTTTCATATTCCTTTTAAGTCCTAAATATCCCTCTATAAACTGTGAATGTACAATGTGTCCATTTGAGGGTGGGGTGGGAGCTGAAGGTATAAAAGACATGGAGAACTGTTAGGTTTAATTAAAAAACGTACATCAGCTTAGGGTCACACTACAGGAAGTTCTTCTCCATATACTTCTGTGAGCCGGGTAGTGGTGGTGCACGCCTTTAATCCCAGCACTCGGGAGGCAGAGGCAGGCAGATCTCTGTGAGTTCAAGCCCAGCCTGGTTTTCAAAGAGAGTTCCAGGACAGTCTCCAAACCTACAGAGAAACCCTGTCTCAAAAATAAACAAAAAATGGTAGCTTTAAATCTTTTGAGATGAGCTATGCAGCCCAGGCTGGCCTTGAGTTTATGATCCTCTTCCTCAGTCTGCACCACACCTGGCTTTTTCTAGTTTCTCTGGGAGAAACTGCTATGTATAGCCCGCCAGAATTTACCTTCCAGTAAAATATGGGATGTTTCTTCTGGCTTTCCAGATCCAACAGTAGAGCAGCTCTCCAGCTCTGATATACATAAAGTTTCAAAGTTACACATTAAGGGGAATAAAGGAATTTTAATAATATAATGTTTACAACTTAGGTAACAATTTCTGTTCATTGCACATACCAACAATTCAGTCAAGATATATTGAAAGCTATCTCCTTTTTTAAAACGGTTGGTGCTGAAGAGAAAGCTCAGCAGTTAAGGGCACCTACTGTTCATGGAAAAGAGTACAGTTCAGTTCCCAGCACCTACATGGTGGTTCACAGCCACCCATGACACTAGTTACAGGGGATCCAATGCCATTATCTGATCTCCAGGAGCGCCAAGAATGCACATGGTACACACATACACATTCAAACAAAGCACATAAGATGAATAAATCTAATAAAGAATTAATATATTTATTTATTTTGTATGCATTCAAGCATCCAAAGGAAGGTGATAGAGAGATGGCTAAGGTTAAGAGTACTGGCTGCTCTTCTGGAGGACCCTGGTCCAATTCCCAGCACCCACCTGGCAATTCAACTGTCTGTAACTCCAGTTCCAGGGGATCTGATGCTCTCTTCTGGCTTCATGGGCACCAGGCATTCCCATAATGCACTTGCATGCATGCAAGCAAATCAGCCATCCACAAAATAATAATTTTTTAAGCAGTAAGCATGTGTTCAGTTGTTAGTGTTTCTGTACATGTATGAGGCCCAGGGTTTGGTCACCAGCATGAAAGAGGAACAGAAAGAAGGAAAGAATTTGAATTCTATGTGAGATGGCAGACTACAAGCTGCCTCTGTGATCTGGTGAAGGAGATAGGATAAGAGAGAGAAGGGTTATTACAAAGAGAATGCCTTAGGTAATTCACAACAGAGAGATAATGACAACTGAAAACTACAAAGAAACAGAAAGGTGAAAAAGAGCCAGGCCAAACAATTCCAGGCACTGGTTCTGGCTTGGGGAGGGTAAGCAGATGCTTCATCCAAAAGGTAAGGCAGGTGGCTCTGGTGAAGAGAATAGCATACTACCCACAGTATAAGCTCACAGCACTCAGAGGGCCTCAAATTCAGTTGCAGGTTTTGATAAGCTAGTGATTCCATTGATGGGCAGGTCAGGGATAGAAATCCCATTTGTCAATGTATAGGACAATGTCCAGGCACTACCTGGAAAAAGAACCTATTGTTCTTTTTGGGATACCGTAGAGACCAATAAATAAATAAATAAATAAATAAATAAATAAATAAATACACACACACACAAGTAGTTTGGGAGCCTGAATTTAACCTCCCACAGCCCCAGGTTGAAAAACAAATGGAGGAGGCAGTTTGGAGAGCAAGGTGGCCACCTGCTTGCAAGTCACAAAGTGCAGGTAAGCATGAAGTTAGGTCAGGCATCGAAGTGAGTATCGAATGGTAGCTTTGTCCTAGATTGACCAGGAACAGACCACAATGGACAGTGAAGTCTGATCACCCCGAACCTGAAGTCAGCAGACAGGATCAACCTCTGAAGCCACCTATCTGCCCTTCAGTGCTGGGGGGTACAAGTCTGTGAAGCTTGGGCGACTGTGTAAGCCCACAGCTACGTCTAGCAAGGTGGTTAATACTTAGCAAGCTTTGCAGATGTGAAGATAGGCCCTATACAGATCTTCATGCTGTTTTTGCTGCCTCCATTCTCATCAACACATTTGGGAGGCACTATGCAGCTAGAACATTAGCCACTATGGGAGGTATGAGCTAGGACGTCATGGGGGGAATAGGAGAATTTACCAAGGCCACAAACAAAACTAAGTGTGGCCAGCAGCACTCCTGATACTAAAGAAAGGAAGCTACTAAACTACAAACAGATATACTGGACATTGGACACAGGTCCAATACAGGCTAACACCAGCATAAATCATAAGAAAGGACAAGTTGGGGGGAAGGGAACAGGGAGGATACAACACAGACACCTTTAATCCCCGAGTGGGAGGCAGAGGCTGGCAAATCTCTTGTGATTTCAAGGCCAGCCTGGTCTTTAGATGAGTCCTAGGATAGCCTCCAAAGCAACACAGAGAAACCCTGTCTCAAAAAACAAATAACAAAAAAGAATACACATTCTCAGAAGCCCATGGAAATTTCTCCTCAAATCAGCCACACATTAGGACACAAAACAAGTCTCAACAAATACAGGAAAATTGACCTAAAGTCCTTCATTCTATTTTACCACAACAGAATACATATGCATGGGTATCAACAGCAATAGAAAACACAAAGTACGGTCTGGAGAGATGGCTCAGAGGTTAAGAGCACTGACTGCCCTTCCAGAGGTCCTGAGTTCAATTCCCAGCAACCACATGGTGGCTCACAACCATCCGTTATGAGATCTGGTGCCCTCTTCTGGTGTGCAGATATACATGGAAGCAGAATGTTGTATACATAATAAATAAATAAAATCTTAAAAAAAAAGAAAAAAAGAAAAAGAAAACACAAAGTACACAAACTCATGGAAACCAAACAATACCCTACTGAATAATGATTGGGTCAAAGAAAAAAGTCAAGAAGTCAATCATGCCTGGCGGTAGCAGTGGCAGTGGAGCACACCTTTAATCCCAGTACTAGGGAGGCAGAGGCAGATGGAGCTCTGTATGTTTGAGGCCAACATAGTGTAGAAAGCAAGTTCCAGGGCAGCTAAGGTTGTTACATGCAGAAATCCTGTTTTGAAAATAAAAAAAAAAAGTACATTGTAAAATTTCTAGAACTGGATAAAAATGAAGACAGCATATTAATCTTTGAGACACAATGAAGGCAGTCCTAACATGAAGGTTTATAGCACTAATTATCAAAAATTTTGAGCTGGGCAGTGGTGGCTCATGCCTGTAATCCCAGCACTGGGGAGAGAGGCAAGTGAATCTCAGTGAGTTCAAGATCAGCCTAGTCTACAGAGTGAGTTCCAGGACAGCCAGAGCTGTTACACAGAGAAACCTTGTCTTGAAAAAAAAATTTTTTTGAGCGATCTCAAATTAATAGTGTAATGATCCATCTGAAAACCTTGGAAAAACAAGAACAAATACCCCCCCCAGAAAAAAAAAAAAGGTAGACGAGAAGAAATAATCAAAATCAGGGCAGAAACTAATGAACTAGAAATGAAAAAAATAATGCAAAGAATAAATGACATGAAGAGTTGTTTCTATTTGAAAAGACTGATGTGATTGACAAATTGACCAAATTAAACAAAAGAAAGAATCCAAATTAATACAATTGGGAGTTGAAAAAGAAGCCATTACAACATACAACAAAGAAATGCAGCAAATCTTAAAAACATACTTTAAAATCCTATATTCCACCAAACTGAAAAATCTAAAAGAAGTGGTTGAATTTTTAGATAAATATGGTGTACAAAAGCTGAGTCAAAGCTGGCCTAAACAAGGGGGAGTACATCGACCCCAGATGCTGTCTGGGAGGCCAGAACCGGACTGATCCAGACCCCTGAACATGGATGTCAATGGGGAGGCCTCTGCTCTCTGGGGGGCCCCTGGTAGTGGATTAGTATTTTTCCCTGGTGTAAGAAGGGATTTTGAGAGCCCATCCCATGTGAAGGGATGCACTCTTGCCCTGGACACATGGGGAAGGGCCTAGGTCCAGCCAGGATGATGTGGTGGACTTTGCAGAGCCCCAGTTGAGGGCCCTACCCTGCCTGGGGAGTGGAGGGTGGATGGGGTGGGGGGATAGGTTGGAGGTGGGGGAGGGAGAGGGAGAAAGGATTGACATGTGGAACAAGCTTGTTCCTAATTTGAACTAATAAATTTTTTTTTTAAAAAAAAAAATGAAAAGTACAGTGCTGGCGAGATGGCTCAGAGGTTAAGAGCACTGACTGCTCTTCCAGAGGTCCTGAGTTCAATTCCCAGCAACCACATGGTGGCTCACAACCATCTGTTATGAGATC